GTTTGAGGGTTTGGTCAATATAATTTCCGGAACCAGTTCCTCAGAATTGATTAATTAGTGACCATGTTTTGGCTGAACTAAATCTGAAATTTTCGAATTGTGATTTAATAAAACGGTCTCTTTGCAGAACGAATGACAGCGTTTACTTTGTTTTTTAACTGCTTGAATTCATTTTGTAAATCTTTGTTGTTTGGAGATCGGCGACACGAACTCCACGGGACCTTTCTCTTTAATCATCTCAAGTATATTGCTTTTGAGCCATTGAAGATAAGGTCGCCGCTTTTTCAACGTAACAGCTCTACTGGCAGCGACAGTGAGCGAACGAAAAACTTGAACAAAACTTGAGTATAACTCAGCGTTATTAACTGTACCTAAAACGGCCTGCAAGTCATGAGAGGAAACTGACTTGTCGAAAACAACATTATCATTAATTTGGGCTTGTCTTGAACTTTCGCATTTAGAGTTTGACGCCACTGTGTGTGTTAGTTGACATACCACGAAGTAGTGATCTGCAAATATTTCCTGAATTACAGCAGATTTCACAGAGACACCTGGTGCTCGTATTAAAATATGGTCAATGCAGGGAGTGACTAACTTTGTTCTTAAATTTTATTGTCGGGTTGGAGCATCAACAACGCGTTCTAAGCCAAAGGTCTACAAAATGTTAAGATAGTCGTTTACGTTGGAATCGGCTGCGCTCATTGTGTCTGTATTAAAGTCGCCCACCAAACAAAGTTGCTGTATAGAAAATAATGTGGAGAGAGTTTCCTGCAGCTCATTTAAAAGTATTCGAACATTTTCTGAAGGAGGCCTGTAGAAACATAACAGAAAAAGTGAGAAGGTGGAGTTGTCAAGTTTGACAGATAAATTTTCGACGTGATAAACATCTAGATTAAGGGGAGAAACTTGCCACATTTGATGTACAAAAACCGCTATGCCTCCGCCACTACGATTTGAACGCGTGAAACAAAAGTTGTTGTAGTCTATGAAAGTGTATTGATAAAGCATAGAGTCCGAGACATTAATTTCCGTAAGTCTAAATGCATCGACATGAAACATAATATTTTGTACCATTATGAGAAAATGATCCCAATATTTTCGAAGGCTCCGGATATTAACATGCAAACATCTAAAAGTCGCACCTTTTGGTTTATCTAGCAAGGTTTGAAAAGACGAAAAATTATTACATTGGGAAGAAGTGGCTCTCATAACTTAAACGATTTTTGCAATATCACCTACGGAGTTGATCCGTAAAAAAGGTGAGCCTTCACTCTTTCTTGCATAGATGTGTGCCTGTTTTACCCAGATATACTTGTAATGGCTTTCTTTTCCCTTGTTCCTCGCCATCCAGAAAAGCTCACGGTTGGAACGAGTGAAATCTTCATTAAAGAATAGCTTGGGCTGACTGCCGACGTTGCTGAGCTCTCTTAGTCGCCCACGGCCTCTCATCCGTTGCTCGTTGAGGGCAACGGACGCAAACCTGACCAGTATAAATGGAGCAGTGTTTGGTTTGTCTGCCTTCTTCGGAGGTAGACGGTGGACGGAGAGAACATCCGATGGCGTAAACTGTGACAGGCCGGTGGTACAGGCTAGGTCACAGAGAACCATGTTCAAGTTTTCTTTTGGCGTGGAAGGCAAGCCCTGAATTACCATGTTCGGTAGGCGATGTTGTTGCTCGGCGTCATTCAGTTCTGCCTGAAGCAGGTGAAGAGAATTTGCTTGCTCCTTTACTGTGTTTGGGAGCGACTGGATTTCCGCCTCAAGGTCCTTGGTTACTTTTTTTTTGCTCAGTGATTTTAGTGAGAACCGTGTCGTACTGAGCACTGAGGAAGACAACGGAATCCTGGACCTCTTGGACGGTTGTCCGCATCAACTCAACGGTGGGTTTTAAGGCCAACAAGGAATCGACCTCCGCTGGAAGCGTGAGAAGCGAATCAACGCTCTGTTTTAACGACAGCGGCACGTCTAGCTTTTCGTTGACGGATGTTAGCTGGGCGGAGAAAGAGTGAGGTTCATCCTGAGATGTAGCCTCCACGTTTCCAGCGCCCGTGCGGTTGTCCCTGCTGCGACAGCTTTTGCAGCGCCACTTTTCTCATTTGGCTGCTCCCATCGTCGTAAAGGTAGCCTCGGCAATCCCGGCACATTGACCCAAGTGAAGTTAACTATTGCACTCCATGCACTTCATACATCTACCATCCGTCGGCACACAAACACCACACACGCCGCAGGCAGGAGGTAGGGACATAATGAAGAACGGGAGACCGAGTTGACAAGAGACAGCGGAGAGGAAGAAGATGCAAAGGTTGGAATATGAAAGTAACGGGCTCAGCGGAAGAAACCTGAAGGCACACAACTACACATGCAGAGACCAATACACAAACATTTATGAAAGGCGCCGATGATGATGCGTAGAAGTCTGGTTGAAGATCAATTCAGCGGAGAGCCCTATGTGCTTTAGTCCGCGTGTGCAATAATAATAATAATAATAATAATAATAATAATAATCATAATAATAATAATAAT